GCACTTCTTCAGAAAAATCAATTAAATTTAACGATACAATGGAGGAGGTGGAGTATATGCTTCAAAAGGGAATGGAATACATGGCTGCTAAAGATAATATACCGAACACCGAAATTAAAAAGGAGCCATTAAAATCAACGAATTTGCCTAAAACGCAACCAAATTCGCCTGCAGTTAATGAAAGTAAACGCATCATTACAGCTCAATCAGAAACAAAAGGTAATATATAATTCCATTGCACTCAACATGTTTTATTCATACGTTTCTTTTATCAGCGAAAGTTCCCAAATCATCGACATTCATAAAAACGTCGAATAAAAATTCACAGCAATCTTCAAATCGATTCGCTCTCGATATGAGACCCTTTCCGAAATTGGAAATATTCGGGAAACATCAACAATCCGCAGCTAGTCACCCACGTCAGAAAGAATTGAGTAATAAACAACATTTCTCCCACATTGTAAGTCCTGTAGGGACCTACATGAAGAGTCTCGTTTATGTCAAGCAAAAATTGCATCAAACACAGTCACGAACCATAAGAACGGTGGACTCTCCTTTACCCGGGTCTTTGGGCACAAAATCAACACTACCTAAAAAGGCATATATTTCATCGGAACTCAAACATGTAAGTAGATACATATTAAAAAGAGCAAAATTTATTTTCTTGACTATTTTTTCATTATATAAGATATATCGTAATAAACCGTGTCGTTCTAATATATATATATATATACAATATTGTCATTTTTATCTGTCGTTGTAAATTTACGTGGATGTTGTGTCTACTTTAATGTGTAAAAACAAGGATTTTTATGTTTTTTGATTTGTGATTAAGCTACTCATTTCGCAGCCTTCGTGCTAAAGTAAAAATCTACAAAATGCATATACCTTAAAATGATGCTGACATTTTGAAGCTCGAATTTGAGTGTTTTTGAATTTTAATTATATTTTCAATTCGCAATCACGAATTTCCAAAAATTAATTTTTAATTTTTCCAAAAAATAATGTGTGCGATCAAATTTCTTAAAACCTTTTTCCGTCGGAATTTTTATATCTGTCATTTGATTCATATGGTTACCCGCGATCAGAAAGCTCTTTTACCTTCCGGATAAAATAAAATCTTTTTCGGGAAAATGCATCTACTGTAACGGCAGGACTTGGCCTGCCAAAACATGAAATTTTTAAAAAACTGTTTTTGAAAATAACGCGAATGCAAAAAATGAGAAGTATATCATTGAATGTACACGCGATCATTGTGTGCACAGGTTTTCCATAAAATGCACATTCAGAATAGAGTTCTGATTCTAAGATATATGCCCTACATTATTTTTCCTGAAAATAATAATAATAGTTCCATAGGATCATTGAAAAACGGGGGTAAGATCTTCAACATACCGAAAATGAAACGGGAAATATATATGACGCCTTTTTAATACATTATGTCAATTCCATGAGAAAATTCGGTCAAAATCTTTATAATACCAAAAATGGGGCGTGACCTGTATGTTCAAGCATTATCAAAACTTGGTCCTAAATAGAAATGTTTCCGCAAAAATGTATTTTACCCTTCAATATCTCGGAATGATATTGGTACTATGGCAATGGATATATTCTAATTTTTGGTAGGAAGATTTTACACCACATGACAATAGGGGATACCACTACATGGGGGCTACCCGGAAACTTGGACCAATATTTATAATTTTTGTAAAGAGGTTTTGATCATCTAAAATAAAACATTACAGCCACTTTGGTTGAAATACTGGACCAAACTGCCCAAAATATGAATATTGTGTGTACCGTTATATGGAAGCTACCTCAAAGAGTCGACCAATATTGACAATTTTAGTAGGATTCATTCTACCAAATAAAACAACCAAATACCAAATTAGAGACGGTTACATTTAAAAACGTTCTCAAATCCCCCACATCATCCGAAATGGTTAAGTACTATTATTTGGGGGATATTTGGAAGCTTGGGCGAATATGAAATTACAGCTAAATACCGAATATTGAGGGATACCTTTATATGGGGACATACGAATACTTAAATCAATATTGAAAATTTTAATTAGGGAGATTTTCTTTTCAATAAGTATCCCTAATATCAAATTAAAAACATTTGTGTTGAATATTGGGGGTATCGTTATATGGGGGATACCAAGGTATTATAAAAATCTGTACACTCCTTTTGGTGGAGGTTATAAAAACAAACCTAAAATGCCTAAAATTATATATTATATTGCTAGGCAAGGCAACGTCTGCCCGCGTCGTTCTAGTATAATATATAATTTTCGGCATTTTAGGTTTGTTTTTATAACCTCCACCATAAGGCGTGTACAGATTTTTATAATATAGATAATATATAGATATGAATGGAATTTTGAAATATTATTAAATCCTGCTCAATTTATTTACCTGTAACTTGATTTAGAATTTTGATATTAATAAAATGGTATCCATCTACCCCCGGCCGCCAGAAGATCAAAGGATATTGAAATCATCAAAGCTTCGGTGTGTTTCAGGTACACGTTTAGGTGAATTAAACCTACGTATATGCTCACCTGCAGGTGAATTATCAGCTCGAATGATAATATTATGGCTATCAGATGGCATCCTATCCTACGCTATTTTGGTCATGTTTACTAAATTTTAAATTTTAACGCCTTACAATATTTACATTTTATTTTCATTTTCCCAATTGTTACTGATTTGTCGGCACAAGTTTATATATCTATATATATAAAAGAGTTGTGTTATAAGTGACTGACTGATCATCAACGCCCAGCCGAAACGGCTAAAGCTAGAAAGTTGAAATTTGGCATGTAGGTGGGGTTTGGTGCGTAGGCGTGGGGCGGGGTTTTTGCGAAATTCGTACTAAAATGTACTAAAAACTGTATTACGCGGGAACGATGAGATGTAGAATTCTGAAATTTGGTGTGCAGCATTGCCTACGATAAGCGAAGTGGTATGTGTGAAAAAATTTGAAATTTAGTAGAGATAAATATCTCAAACTTTGTATGTAGCTTAAGCTATAAAAACAAGAACGACGTACACAAATATTTGTTGGAAATTAGTACTAAAATGGTACTAAAACTGTATTACGCCGGAACGGTTGGAAGTAGAACTCTAAAATTTGGTATACAGCTTTGTAAATAACAATCCAAAGAGCATGTATGATAAAATTGGAATTTAGTACTAAGAGGTACCACAAAGTACTAAATAATATATTTGAATGGAACAAGTAGAGATACTTATCTAAAAATTGATATGTAGCTTAAGATATTAAAAATAGAATATTGTGAAAAAATATCTTTTGGAAATTTGTACTAAAAAGTACTAAAACTATATTACACCGAAACGTTTGGAAGTAGAACTCTGAAATTTGGTATGCAGCTTTGTCAATGATAGGCGAAGGGGGATGTGTCAACAAATTTTGTGTCAACAAATGTGTCTGAAACGTGGCACGTTGATTTAACTATTACAAATACTTCAATATGCTTCATTTTTTTAATTAGTACTAAAATGGTACTAAATCTATTTTATATATCTATTTTCTTTCGTCCCTACTGTTAAAAAACGTATAGTGTCTTGCATGGAACCATGGTTAAACAGTAGACCTATAATATTTTCAAATTCATTGCAAGATATGGCCTACTGTGTATCGCACTCTTAGGAACAAAGCTAAGAGTGTTCTTAGAAATGAACGTAAGAAATATTACGTCAAATATTTTAATGGTTTAAACGCGACACAGATTTGGAGACAGTTTCGTTCCGGCGGTATCGTTGGTAGTGACACTAACTTTACAACTGATGTAGATGTTTTAAATGCATATTTTACTGAGAACAACAGTATTAGCAATGCGTATGTAGATTTACCCGATATTAATAGACAAGAATATACTTTATCATTTAATTGTGTCTTTGAAATTGATATTTTTAAAGCTTTTCAGCGGGTTAAGTCCCAGTCTGTGTGTATAGATGGTATACCTATTAAATTTTTAAAACTGATTTACCCATACATATCTAGGCATTTGACCTACTTTTTTAACACTATGTTTACTACATCGGTCTTTCCGCAAGCGTGGAAAGTCGCTAGAGTAGTCCCCATTCCCAAAGTTAAAGAAACACCTACTATAGAAAATATGAGACCAATAAGCACTTTACCCGCACTTTTAAAAGTTGCCGAGCACCTCATATTGGAGCAAATTCAAGAATTTATTGATGAGCGAAAATATATAAATGAATACCAATATGGTTTCAGACGTGGGCTCAGTACTACATCTCTCTTAGTAGACATAACTGATCTTATCAGAGAGACAATTGATGGGGGTGAAAGTGGTGTTATCGTGGCCCTGGACTTATCCAAAGCATTTGATTGTGTAGATTATTCAAGACTAATTCAAAAACTACGATCAAATTATTCTTTTGATAATACAGCATGTAATTTAATTTCTCCTATTTGTCTGGGCGTTCCCAGTATGTTTCATTAAATGGCAAGACTTCTAACAAACTTAATATGTACAGTGGTATACCCCAAGGTTCAATTTTAGGTCCCCTTCTTTTTATTTTATACGTGAATGACATTGGTAACTTTTTACATAATAGCGTATGTCGACCGTTTTTATATGCTGATGATATTCACTTATTTTTTGTCCGCAGTATCGCGTTGGTTATGTAATAATAACCTAGTAATAAATGTTACAAAGACAAAAGCAATGGGATATGGGATATATGTCGCCTCAATAGTATAGATATACGTGTTAATGGATTAATTATTGACTTCGTTGATCGCATAAAATGCTTAGGAGTTATTGTTGATAGCAAACTTGATTTTTCTTCTCATATAGATGCTCTACACCCTAGAGTAATGAATATTGTTCGAAAATTATACTCAACTGAATTATATATGCCACTATTTGTAAAGAGAAATCTTGCTTATTCAATGTTAATATCACTTATTTTTTATGGTATAGAAGTTGTATCTGGCACCACACATGAGCATTTTAACAAAATAGAAAAATTGTTCAATATGGTTGTAAGGTACGTTTATAATTTACGTCGATCAGACCACATTTCAGCTTATGCGGCTGATTTTCTAGAAGTACCGTTCTCAGTTTTCGTAAAGAAAATAGTTATTTTATTTCTATATAAATCTGTCACTTTAGATCTTCCCAGTGTCCTGCGTGATCGACTTGTTTTCTCTAGATCTACCAGGAACACTCAGTTAATTTTCCCGCGCTATTCCACTTGTTTATATGAAAGATCTTTTATTATTCGTTCGTCACGTTGAACTACGGCATAAAATACAAATAAATAAATATTAAATGGCAACTGAAACGGTATAAATTAAAATCTGAAACATAGTATGTTGTTTAATTATTTCACATATAATTAATTAATTAATATATTAATAATTAATTAATTAATTTGCCTGAGTAGTTCTCAGTATGGTTTTCAGCGTGGCTGCAGTACTACGGTACACTTATTATCCCTTACTGATGTTATTCGTGATGTTTTTGATGGTTCTGATGTAGGTCTTCTTGTTGGTCTTGATTTGTCTAAGGCCTTTGATTCAATTGACCACGCGCTGCTTATTCGCAAGCTTAGAGTCAAATTTGGATT